TTCCTCCAAACTAGGACTGGATGATGCGGCAAAACCCAAGTGATCAATTTATCAATTTCCTCTTTATAAATACAACATTTCTTATGTAATATAGAATTTTTTGCACTCCTTGGGCTTCCACAGCTCCCTCAGAGTGACATCAGTTCATCATTTTGTTCTGCCTGATCCCTACTATCAGCTCATGTATGCACACATACAACCAGAAATGCATCCCGGTCGCCATTAAATAATGTAATAAAGGTCCCAAAAGTCTATCCGTTATTCATTAAAGTATGCTAAACTACGAGGCATTAAAAGTTAATAACGACTTTGCTGAGAGAACAGATGCTCAGAGCAGAGCAGTGAAATATCATTTCACTGCATTTATCTGTGTTTAGTTTTCCTTCTAGAGATTATGCACTCTATACTAGACTGATAGCAGGTAGGGCTGGGTGATATAGTTTAAAATCAGATTTTCTTTCCTGTCATGTCCAATTAATCATTTATTTTCCTCACTTAAGTTTCACGATACAAATGAAACATGACATAACTGCTTCAAAAGCTAGCTTTGATTGCAATCACCACCTCTGGGAGGTGAACATCATTCACAGCAGCGTAACTAAAGAAGTGAAACCTGCTTGTAGAATAATCATGTTTCACAACAAAAAATGGAATCATGACACTAAATGCTAGCAGCTGGTAGCTTCACTAACAGAGCTGGTTTATTAGTTATGTGTGCAGAAATAAACAAAAACTGATGTTACTATGAGCTATGGAAGTTCATTGGTGAAAAAATAAAACAGAATTTCAAAAAAGTTGTATTTTTTATTTTAAAAATGTATTTTATTGGTTTAATCACTCCGCCCTAGTACAAGGAAATGCAAGCATAAAAAAAGACTACAATTATTTATCAAGCCAAAGCTGGAAAATGCTGCCAAAGTAGGGCTAGGATCGCGTTTCCAGGAGATGAAAATGATACTTAACATGAGGCGACAGTGATAAACTAACTCACTGGGTGATACCGCTAGATGTTATGTTTTCTTTGTCTGTTGTGAAACGAAGGGGGTGATTGAAATCAAAGCTACCAGGAAGGAGAATGTCCTCCATTAAAATGTCTAAGCCACACTGCCTAACCAGAATCGCAGTGTATTTGATGTTGTTCCGATATCGATGTTAACCAGCGCTCGATGTTAACCATCCCCCGATCTCCCGGGGCAAGTGGTTTTTATTGTCGGGAGA